TTGCTTTTAAAAAGCGCTTCATTTTCTACAGATAACAGCCGAACATCAAGATTATCCATTTTTTACCATATTTCTAACCATAAAATCTTTATCCCAAAATATCTCGATAACGCTCTTACAGATTTCGCTTAAACTTCACGAACATCGAGGCCGCTATTGGAGGAAAAAGCTCCCGTGAATGATTTTGGAAGAACAGTTCCCAGTGCCGAGAAATACTTCTGTAAGTAAAATAGGTAATAGCGTCATTTCGTTGCTATGACAACTCCGATGTCATTGCAATCCTGATCATAAAAGATTTTTATCTTAATCTAATACAACTGTGGTGGCAATTTTTCCAAAACTTTGTTTATGGCGACGTAGTTTATGCTCAAACTTGGGAGGTATTGGCCTTGAAAAACTGTATCGAGCCACCTTAATAAAACTCTTTTTAAACCATGGAAAGAAGGTCAAAATAATCCATACAATGATTTCAGTGCACAGATTTCAATTTCTACGAACTATAAGAGTATAGACCATAGCAAATTACTTTCTGTTTTTTTTTAAACTCGAACAGTTATAATGTCCATTTCCGCCATGTTTTGTGACAAATATCGTACAAGAGACAGAAAAGTAAATATAGCAATCGCGTCAGTTTGTACGTTTAGACTACAGCTCATGTCCAATCAACGTGTGAGAGAAAACTCTCGGTACTAGCTAATGAAATATAACCATGATCAAAGAATAGCAAGGGGCTAAGCGTGCACTCGCATGCACGCGGATATTGCTAACCATGCTCAGCAGATGTATAAGGTTGAGCGTTAGTCGGGTTCGACGACAACAATGACCAGTAAAATCGAGTCAGCATATAGTCTGAATATAGTGCAGGGTGTCCCAAAAGTTCGTTCCTCTGCTTTCATGCACCATGCATAACTTTTGATCAAAGCTTTATTTTTACATTAAATTTCTAGAAGCTATCAATTCTCTATCGAGTTCATCTATTCAGAATTTTAGTGACTGGCATGCCCTTTTTTGTTTTTTAACACATTCTGTAGCTTTGCGGAATGGAGTGGGGTAGAGCGTGTAGGCTCACAGAAGACCCATTTTGAACTTTTTTTTATCACCCGGTGCGCAGGAGCCAGTTCAACCCCCAAACAATATTTGTTAGTGTAGACAGCTGAACAAAAAAATTTTTTGGGCATTCATCCAAAAAAGATAATCATCCCGGCCCCTCTCCACAGCAAGGCCTTTGTACTTCTTTACAAATTTGAGACGAATCGGGCGTTATTTGGCAGACTAAGCACACCGTAATTTTTAGGGAGTTATTATAACTCCAAACATGAAGTAAAAAATTTTAGGTACAAGATAACCCCTTTTTAGGGGTTATTTTAACTCCTAATTTAACTCCGAATTTGGGGTCATTTTTACTCCTGAAAAAGAGTTCTGTTTACTCCCAGTCTGGAGTTAAGATAATTCCGAAATGGGGTAGTTACTCCTTACATGGGTTGTTTTTACTCTTTTTGGAGTTAATTTAACTCTGAAAGTGGAGTAAAAATTTTAGGTACGGGATAACTCCTTTTTGGGGGTTGTTTTATCTCCTCAATATCTGGGGTCACTTTTACTCCTGAAAAAGAGTTATTTAAACTCTTTTCGGAGTTAAAAAAACTTCCCAAAAAAATAACTCCGCTGTAAGGAGTTAAATTAGCTCCACTAGAGGAGTTATTATAACTCCTTGAAAATTACTGTGCAGATCGGTTTTTTTGGCCATCTCAGGGTCTAATTTTAAACATTAGATTTTCATGATCCTTACTGGACTTGGCTTGCTAATTATGTGAGAGCTTCCTCTTCGAGTCTCCTATTTTGTACATCTGAAAACTATATTAGCTGCTTTGGTCATGACTTTTGGTCTTCCGCTTCGTTTCTTGCCTCCAAAACCTTCATTTCTCCATGATCATTTTACCACCAACATTCGGATTTTTCCAGATTTTTAGCAGTTTCTACGTATACAACAGATAAGCAAGTAAGTAGAAGCGTACATGCTTATGCTCCCACGTAGCTCAACGTTTTTTGAACGTTATTCATTAAAAGAAGTAAGGGAGGAGTTCCAGCAATTCGGGCTTTAAAATACAAAATTATGTGGCTGGAAAATATACTCGCGCACGCGCACCTTTGGCGCGGAAGTACACAAATCGAATACAGACTTATAAAGTAGAGGAACTAACGTTTGGGACAAGCACTGACAAGACCATATTCGAGTCAGCTAGATGCATTCGGAATATTATATGCTGAGTCGCTATCATTTCACACAAAAAAAAAACAAGGAAGGAGTTCAGGCAATTAGGGCTGTAAAATACAAAATTATGTGGCTGGAAAATATACTCGCGCCCGCGCACCTTTGGCGAGGAAGTACATTTACGGTTTTGCCAAATGAACCTTTTTTACGTCAAGCCAACAACTTTTTTCTCCAAAGTAGCCTTTATAAATACTGAGAGTGTAACCATTGTTGTTTTCAATTCTTCTCTTTTCTTCCACCTCGCTCTCTATTTTTCTCCTTTGCTTTTCCTTCGTTAGTGTGCACTTGAAGCTTATCGGCTTTCGAAACCTGAATTTTAACGCCTTTTCACGCAAATGATCATGACTGCAAATTTCGTTATGTTGTTTTTAAACAAATTGGTTAGAATTATATATTCCATATTAATTATTTCCAAGAAGTGTATGCGTAAAAATAAACCTGCGCGCTGGCTTGCTTTTGGCGCCTTTTGCCTTTGGTCAAATTAAATGTTGGTGGCAATTTATTGATCAATCAGAGGTGTAACTGCCTTAAAGCGGAGGAGCAACTTTAGAATACTCGGCCACTTGTCGGAACGCTTTACAGAACGAGGTATTAACATAATAGTTTCTTTTGTTATTCAACGCGTGTTGCAACTGATAAGTGCCCGGGTATTCTGCCTGTCGCAATGTATGAAAGTCAAACTTTTACGCCCTTTCTTAGTTTTCCCGTCCGTCCTTCTTACCTTACATTCCGCAAGCTTATCCAAGCGTAGATAACGGCGTAGTAAACTGAAAACGATTTGAAGGGTCTCACTTCTTTCCGAAATAAAAACTTGTGGAAAGACAAAGCAAGGGGACAGAGTCGCGTTTGGTACACGATAAAGCTAAGTAAAAAGTAGGATAGAAACTTACCAACGAAAGCCATCTATGTGTTCATCGCCTCTCGGTCTAAGCTCCATGTCCTCGTTGCACTGTCCGCAATGGAGAGGATTGGCTAAAAGAGCTCTGCCTTGAAGCCATCTAATCACATTCTCTATTGGACCCCTCTCTAACTCGAAAAGTTGACGAAGGCTCATTTTGAAGGAAAACGGTCGGAAGTCGAAGGAGGATGGCCTCTGCAGGGCACTTGTCGAGACCGGTATGTGCATTCAGAAAGTGAACTTGTGAATTTTAACATGTTTCAGTTTAATCGCATGTTTCTATTGTTATATTGTTATGCGTGAATCAGATTTTTAAAGCGGCAGTGTTCGAGTAAGGCTTTCTCTTTGTTCCAGGTTTAAAATTTCTTTTACCTCTAGAGAACATGTCATTTCGAAATCCAACGTAGAAGTTACAAACCGCACCAATAAAACTGACCAACCAATTCGTATAATGTCGGAAAGCTGCTTCCTGGCCAGTCGAAAAGTTGCCAACACTTACCAAAAGTCAAAAAAAGTTGGAAAAGTGTCTATCTAACATTGAAGAGTTGCTAGCTAAATTTCTTGATATTTTAAATGTAAACACAAAAAGCTTGATTCTCCGTTCTTCACAATAATTGTTAACATCGGTCAAGAAAAATAACTTGAAACGAACATTCAAGTAAAAAGTTAAGTTGCTCGCAAATATAGGCGAAACCGGCCAAGCTCACTACGAGAGCCCTGATGCCCCTAACATTATACTACTTAGCCAAGTACTTATTCATATGATAAAAATTATAAAATTCTAGGACGTTGTTTGTGAATGTTAAATTTTGAAAATGCCTGATTAAAAAAAAAAACGTGAATTAAATTATGCCTTTTAAGGTAGCCTTTAGGTTGATAATCACTGTATGAATGCGACGTTTTCTGTGAAATAATGTTTGATACGTGCTCTAAACCTATTTTTCTTTGTATAGTACTCATAGCCTGTAGACCGACGTGGCTTTCTTTTTCTTTTTGAAAATCGAAGAGAACGAGGAGAGCGCGGCGCGTAAGAACGAGGGCGGGGAACGAGAACGTCATAAATTTCCCGCGCAGGTAGAGAGACAACGCCAGGTTCTAAGATAGTGGGGAAGACGAAAGTAAAAGGCACGTAAAAGTTGGTGGGGATGATTTCTTCCCGGTTTTATTTTCGTGTTCGCCCTCTCTCAATTCAGCGGAGCCTGGAGCCCCTAGAGCCTTAGGACAACGCCGAAATCTTTTGTGAAGAACTGTGCCGTGATTTACACGCGCGTACGCAGGTAAATAAAATTGAAGCTGAAAGTGTCCACGTAAAAGTAAAGTGTTGAACCTCGCTTAACTTTTACATTTACGCCTTCGTACTTTCCTTCTTTTTCATTTACGTTCGTAAACTTTAAGTGAGATGACACGGAACATTTTATATGCCGCAGTGGAAATTTTTTTCCTATGACGTAGGCGGTATTTGCCTGATTTGGGAAGAGATGAAAAACGATACTCTTTTTAAACAATGCGGTATTACTTTTATTTCCAAGATTATACATACCTATTTTTTACAAACAGCCGACGAAAAATTGGTAGCAAGATCTTTCTTTTATTTAATTAATGCAGTATACTTCTGACTGCATATTCCTTGGAGAACGCGGCGACTACAAACAATTACATCACTTTATTTCGCACATTGATTATATTGTTCATTAAAGTTTATAGTATCAGTTGTCACAATAAAACGTCGCTTTGTAATTGACACCAAGCAAGATCCACGCGTCAAGTTGATATCTGTTGTTTGAAGGGGCGTTCAAGTGTTATTTCGCGTGTTGTTATTTGCTTCGGTTGGAAATGAACAGCGACAGCGAGGTCGAGTTTGACTCATCAGACGATGATTTGTCAAGCAATGTACAGCATAGTAAGAGGCCTTTCACTAGGCCATTCGTGCATCTAAAAAAGCGCTTGCGGGGTGCTCCCTGCAAGAGCAAATACGAGGCTCTTAAAGCAGCTGGCAGAGTCCGTGATCTTTGTTTTACGAAGAGATACTCAAATGCTGATATCGAGGGGTTGCTGAAGTCCAATTTTCCAAGTTTGGCTGGTTTGGATCTCACCAAGTAAGTGTTCATTCGTAGTGTGTGTCTTAACTGCGTCGTCGTCTTCCATATTGTTGTCCTTTCAAGCAAATCATGCTGTTTTGTTTCTTCCCAAAGACTGAGATTTCTAAAGTCGGAAAAGAGTGGCCACTCAATGAAGGTTCTATTCCAAGGTATTCCAACTGGACTTGAGCTCGCGAAGGAATTTAAAGGGTCTACGACCAAGAAAATATATATGCATTGGAAATCCAGTTCAGGTAATTTTTTTCATGTCTTCGAGAATGCCGGGTCTAAAGTACAGGTCACATTCCACAGGTCATGAGTACAGGTCACAGCGCTATCGATAAATTGCCAAACCACACAGATTTCCCTTGATCTATAAGAGCATTTGGTTAAGGGATTAGGAGTAGGGGACACTTGTAATGCTATTTATTTACCTGTGCGAGCAAGCTCTCCATTTGGGCGATATCGGAAAAAGACACAAGAGGCACGCTTGAGGAGACGCTAAAAACGGGGGGGGGCTTCGCCGCCCGCCCGCGTGTTCTCGCGCGGCTCGCTTCGCTTGCCCAAATAAGAGAATTTGCTCGTAGGGTACCTGCATTCTGGCCTGTCTTTTAGACCCTTGAGAACGTAGCCATAAAAATCTGAAAAATGAACCAGGTTGCCCTTTACTTAATATTTGGGTGCAGGTGAGCTGGCAAAAATCCTAAAATACATGCCCTGTTTACACCAACGCCCTCAGGGTTATTACCCTGTTTCTCCAGTTTTTTTTTTTTTGAGTGGAGAGGGTGGCTCCACACAGGTTTATTTAGAGGACTAAATGTGCGCCATCTTCTTTTAAAGCCATTTAATGGCAGATTTTACAGTAGAGCAAATTCACGTTGTAGTCCTTGCTGCTGTATACTTAGAGCACAAAGAAAGTTCATCAAGCAAATCACATCAAGGGTGCAGGCATTAGTTAGTTTATAATCAGGACAGACTTACCTGAATAATATTCCCTAATTAAGACATACCATAACTCCTCTATAAAGCTCCCTGTGGTGGCTTGGTTATTTCAAGCCCATTAGAGACAAGGGATTTATCAGTGGAGAGGCTTATTTGAGAGTTGGGGGGGGGGGGGGGGCTTGAAAGAGGAGTTTTGTTAGTTGCGTAAAATTGAATGGTAACTGGTTGTCCCAATACAAGTTCTTTCGGATTAACTCAGTCATTGAAATTAATTAAAAATTTCAATCTCTTCAATATAGAGGCGGTCAAAAATCCATACCCTGACTCTTGTTTGACAGCCACTTTCTTGTATCCCCAAGGTGGCCATGGTTCATCTGTACTGAATCCACCTTGCATCTAAGTTCAGAATTTCAAAGACGTCCAGAGACTGCACAAAGTTGACATTGGATTATACTTAAGGGAGGGTCGTTTGCTGGAGGTTGCTTGCACAAGAATGTTTGACTGTACAGAAAATTATTTTGTCACTATCTATAGGAGTGTGGGCAAAGTAGACATTATAAGCAATTCACGTGAGTAACAAAACAAAACCACAGAATCTCAAAAAACTTTCTGAAAACCTAGGTTACTATTATATTTTGGAATGTTGGTGAACTTGATTTCTTATGGCCTAATTCATTATTAGTGGAAACCACTGTGGTTGGACAAGAAAGAAGATATACATGTAAAAGAGGACTCACACTGAATTTTGAGTTGATATAGGCAAGGAAATTCCACACATGAATTAGAACAACATATAAATTGATTATTGTCAAATCTATTGAACACTTCTTTTTTTTTTCTAGGTGTAACAGCAACAACATCAAATCCAACATCTAATCCAACAACTGCCACCCCATTAGTGACCATCTCATCAACCTCAACCACTACTTCATCATCGAGAACTACATCGACCCCAATTTCATCATCCAGAACTACATCAACCACAACATCATTACCCAGAACTACATCAACGACAACATCATTACCCAGAACTACATCAACGACAACATCATTACCCAGAACTACATCAACGACAACATCATTACCCAGAACTACATCAACCACAACATCATTACCCAGAACTACATCAACCACAACCGCGACATCTACACCTTTATCAACTGCAACCACACCACCAAGGACTGCAACTACCTGTACATCGTCCACAACTTCTTTAACTGGAACTACGTCGTTCTTGACTTCGTCAATTGGAGTTACATCATCCCTGACTTCATCAACTGCTGCTACTCGCACATCATCTGCGACTTCATCAACTGGAACTATGTCAACCCTGACTTCATCAACTACCAGCTCCTCACATAGTTTCTTACCAGCTTTCACCTCATCAACAACCTCCTCTTCATCCAACATCCCATCAACAGCCATGCCATCACCTGCATTCTCCATTCATACAGGACTAGGTAGAGAGAGTTACAGCTCATAGACAAATATTCTAGAGCGGGTGTCCGAAGTACCATCATTGTTAAGCGGCACACAAATACACTGACTAGGCACACTGTATGCAAGGTTCTTTTATCAGCCTAGGGACAGGGCTTCTGATATTTCGCGCGGTCGCGGACCCGCGAAATTCAGGTATTTCCGCGAAATCCCGCGAAATTCCCCCCAAAACGCGAAATACCGCGAAATCCGCCAGAAATATTTCCAAATACATGTCGGCAAAACATATTTAATACTTATCTTGGCTATTAGACCGGTTTTATTCACCCCAAACGTCCAAACTTAGCTTGAAACTTCATCACTGCAACGAGTAAACAACGTCCCAAAACTACCAGGCGTTTTTAGATGAACGTTGCGAAAAACTGGGCACTAACCATAATGTTGATAGCTTTAACATGTGCTTATTTCTCGAGCGAACTGTTGTTGAAAGAGCAAATGATTATCCGTGTTAAAAAAAGCGTTCACCAACGCTGGTCATATCGACGCAAAATTGATCGATTTTAGCGAAATTTGCCAAAAAAACCCCAGCGAAATCGGCTGTTTTTTACTGATTGTTTCTTGGCGAAGTTTCCCCCCGAAATTTCTCGTGAAATCGGCCGATTTTCCTAAGAAATTCTTAGGAAATTATTTGCCCCTGAAAATCCTTCGAAAATTGACTCTTTTCCGCTAAAATCCCTCGAAATGGGCCGATTTTCCTGCGAATTTTGACTTTTCTCCCGCGAAAATCGCCTGAAATCGGCCGATTGTTCCGCGAATTTTGACTTTTTCCCGCGAAAATCCCGCGAAATCGGCCGATTTTTCCGCGAATTTGCCCCTGAAAATCCCGCGAAATTTTGCTTTTTTTCCGCGAAATATCAGAAGCCCTGTAGGGACAATAATTTATACAGAACATATGCAGATACAATCCATATAACGTTGCCCTAAGCTGTTCAGTGTACGAACTTACCGACACTGATGTTGCACATATTTTATAAACATTAAAAACTATTTTTTCCAGAAAATAAAAACTGTAAGAGTATAAAAACTAATCAAGGGGAAGTAAGTATCTACAATAATAAAATACTAACCTGGCTGCGGCTGCTCACAGAGTCCAAATTCCACAAAAGTCCCCTAAATGGTACTCTTATAAAGGAACAGTAATCATTAGTCAAGAGCTATAGTTACATATTCTTTTTGTGGGGGAGGGGGGAAAGTGAGGTCCCCTAATAACAGAGAAGATCCACATCATTTAACCACATTAGTCTAGGTCAACGAAAGCTGGCTTCCATTAATAATATTAGGGCACGCAAAATAGAGAACTAATGAAATTAGTAATAGAAACAAATTGAATTATTTGACTTAGCTTAATTTGAGTTGTGCATGGTCATCATCTTCAATTAGCTCCTCTTATATTTAATTTACACAATATTTAGTCAGGGGTGCCCATTTGGGAGAGGCTGGTTTGAATGAGGCATTTTTGATTGAGGGAGGCAGGAGAGGTAAGGGGTAGGAGAGTGGCTTTATGAAGTTTAAATTACAACTTCATGAAACAATAACCTTGGTATAATATAGTTTACTTGAGCATTTTTTGGTCTTAGTGAACAAACATGATTTATTTGTCGCTTATCTAATCTTGTGCCAGTTATATATACATCACTGCATGACTAATTATTGTCCTCATATTAATTATTGTTTCATTTTAAAATAATTTAGTTTCAAGTAGTGCAAGAGCAACACCCACATCAGCAACAGCCTCTATTACAGTTACGGCAACACCACTGTCAGTTCCTAGAGATGGTTGTAAGTTAACTGGAATTATGTCTGTGAGAGTTTGATACCTTTAAAAAAAATTGTTGCTTTGCACTCATGATCATTGCTTTTAATTTTGTTGATGGGAGTATTTTCTGAGACAGAGCATTGAAAATCGGTCATAATTAGCAAATAAATCCATTTTGTTTTAAATCTCTGAACATTTCACTGAACATATTCTTGTGTTGCTGTTGAAGTACGTTGAAGTAAAATTAATATAACAAAACACTTGATGTCAGGCCCCTCGGGAAACCAGTTAGTTTTGTTTTACCTCAAGCCCTGATATTTCCCCAAGTGAGTCTTAAAAGGTCTTGTTTAATACAATGAGTAGGCCCATGATCTGCTCTCACAAAGTCACGCTTTCATAATTTACAAGCAATAAAATGTCTGTTTGTTAATCGTCACCAAAATTGATAAAAATTTTAATTTTAAGGACGATTTAAATGCTCAATCCAGCACAACACTTTTTTTTTTTACCAGTATCGACAAGAAGGCTCCTAGCAAGATTAGCTGGACAAAACAATGCAAATGATGGTGAGTGATATTTTTATGTTATCTCTGGTTCTCTTAAAAAACATACGTTATATATAATACAAGGCTGTGCTTTAAAGAAAATTAAAGGGAGCCCAGTGCTCTTAATCTCTGAAACCATAGGTGCCCAGCATGTGATTTGTATGAAAAAAAACTAAGATTTTCTAGTCGCCCAAGAGCAAAAAATGGGCAATTCCAGAAAATATCCATACCCAACCACGGACAGCTTCCATGTTTTAACCCCCCCCTTGCCTTCGGAAATTCAAAAATGCGCTACCCCCCCATGCCCTCAGAATTCCATAGTCGTGAACCCCCCCTCCCCTTCAGAATTTCCGGTTTTTTTTGGAAGTACATTTTCGACTTAGCAACGCCTATAAGAACAAACGAACATGAATTTATGCCTCCTCAAGGCTGTGATCTAGCGGCGCCATGTGACAAGCTTTACTCTTCAGTGACAAGAAAAACCTACGCTAGTTGCCAGGCCGTGCAAACTCCTTTTTAAGTCCGAATTTGGCTATAAAAATAAACACCACTTAAGGTAATTTTACTCCTCTTTGTTTTCTTGTGCTGTTTTGACGTTTACAAAGGAAAATAGCTCAAACAGACTGTTAAAATCTTTTGGCGGTCAAATATACCGTCGAGTCGTGTTGCGTCCTTTTATACGTCATGTAGTGCGCACGAAAAACGTTCTAATCTGACAGGCGTTCCTTGGAAGTGAGGGACTGGTGCGAGTTTTTTACTGTTTATCGGACGGTTTCGGACGGGAGTAACAAGAAATTTGCAAGGGGTATTAAAAGATACATTTTCAGTTTTTATTCACGTGACAAGAAATTCATCAAGGTAAATGTGAAACCAACGTTTTACTGTTCACTTCTATAAGTTATGAGCGTAAACACGTGTCTGATCTATCGATGCTTGTCTTCTGCTTCCGCGGTCATACGTTCGTGGTTTATTTACGAACTACAAAAGTCCACAACAATAGCGTTTTCCAGGAACTTACTCTACACTTTCTACTCCAGAAATCCCACCAGTGGAATTCCCCCATACCTTCGGATTTCAAATCGTAAATACCCCGCCATGCCTTCAGAATTCCATAATCGTGAATCCCCCCTCCCCTTCGGAAATCCTTAAAGCCGTCCGTGGTATGGTATGGATATTTTCTGGAATCGCCCAATGGGCACCAGGGGCCACCGGGTGCTGCTACAGCACAGCCCCATATTATTATCAGAAAGTTATAACCCCTTGTGAGTTTCTGATAATTATTATATAATAAATGTAAATAAACTGAATGAAGTCTACATACCTTCAAACCATAACCACTCCAGTAGAAGGGTTGTTACCAAGATTTCAATTCAATGGTAAACTGATATGCATGCATTAAAAAGGCAATGAGAAGTTATTTTCTTTTTCTTTGTCTGTTTGTTTGTTTTACTTCCCATGCAGGTATCGTCGGAACTTGCTGAAAGTAACAGGCTGGGGAAATTCCTGTTTCCACGCCTAGTGACTGCTTTACGTCTCCTTTTCTTGTTTTTTGGTCTTTTACAGGTAGTCTGAGTACCTGAGGAGTTAATTGTTGAGCTAACTGCCAGCCCCTCCTTCTTCCTTGAGAAATTGAAACTGCTGCAAGAAAAAATAATGTTGACATGCATTTAACAATAAGCCCATCAAACTGTCGTCTAAGAACTCAAGGCATTGTTGATGGCTAATATCAAATTCTCTACCTTTCCCACAGACGTATCCCTAAGTCCACCCGAAGATGATGATCTGGTTGTCTTGGATCACAGTCCAACCCATTGTAAGGAAAATACTGGTGTAATATAGAATCTAATATCATAAATTTAACTCCCATGAATGTTTTGGATTTTGGGAAATACGTTCCTGTATTCTGGGGTACTTATTGGCAAACTAGGCTAAGTTTATAAGATCCTAATTACGATTCTCGATTTTTATACCACCAATATATAATACTCTTTTGGGGATTTCCAGTTTTTCTGTTACACAACCTGTCACCTCGCAGCACTGATGAGGTCTGAATGGTTCAGATGAAATATTTGTTTCATTATTATTTTTCTTATTTTTTGGCGCTGAGTTTTGGAATTTTCTGTTAGTATTAAAATTAATGTTGTATGAAGGAGATCATAGATCAGATTGTTCATTACCAGAAGAGTAAATGAGCTTGTGTTAAGTTTGCACCGTAAATATACTGTAATTTATATACATGTAGTGATAAGAACTCCTGCAGGATTTCACATAAAGTTTAACTGCTCAACCACTTAGCACAGGTGATTATATTGCATTATTGCGCCGACCTACATGTAAGTTTACAGGCCTATTACATAAGAAGTTATTGTATGAAAAAGTAACGGACATTTCAAAAAGTACCGAATTTTTGGTTATTTGGCAAATTTATTCAAAATTTATTTCCTTTGCCTACATGACTTGAAAGTCACACTGCCTAATTTGTTGCAATTGACTAAGGTGCCTCATTCATTTGATTGCATGTAGATTCAAGTACAAGAGCTTCAATGACCCAAGGTGTTCAACCACTTGGTGGAGGTGACTTGGAAACATCTTATGGTATTGTTACCCTGATTTAGAAGTTAGACAAATTAATTTCACATAAAAACTCTTTACATTATGTTGAAAAAGTACTGGACACTTCTATAAGTATAGGTTCTAATATGTTACCTGCATAAATCAAAAGTCAATTAAGCTGCTTGAGTAAATTAGGTTGCAATTATGTTGATTCCACTTCAAGAGCCTCTGTCACCCAGTTGACTAAGATGTCTCCTTTATCTGATTTCATGTAGATTCAAATACAAGATCAGCTTCAACTGTTCAAAGTGTTACTGCTCAACCAAGGAGAACAGGTGACCAAACATTATATCGTATCATTAGGCGATATACATGTAGGTTTATAGGCGTATCAGTTAGGAACTTGTTGTATGAAAAAGTACTGGACATTTTAAGTATCTCAATCAAATACTACTTTGCTTACATAAATCAAAAGTTAATTAAGCTGCTTAGTACATTATGTTGCAATTGACCAAGTAGATTCTAGTAAAGAAGCTTCTGCTAAGCCAAGGTTTAACTATCCAACACGTATCACAGTTGAGCAAAATAATGTTTTGAATAATTATGGCATATTCTGTATGCTGGAACATTAATTTCATGTAGATCTATGTATGAGATAGAAATTTATGCGAGGATCATTAGGGAAAGGGGAAAAAAAACCAAGGAAAAAAATAGACATGAGTGAAGGTCAGTGTGCTCTTGAAAAAATAATAATGTTAATAATTACACTTACTGGAAAAAAAAAAGAACAAAAGAAAAAGACAAAAATCTACTGTTGACAAAAAAAAAACAAAATTACAAAAATAGTGATACACATAACTGCAACGAAACAAATCAACATATTGTTATCCTGCTTGAAAATTTATGCTCGCTGAAATTTTTCCACGTCTTACAGGATTCTTTCAAGGGATCCCATTTAATGGAACAGGGATACAAGGTAAACACCCCGGCAAATTACATCCATGCATATAATGAATCTTGATTTTTTATCATAAGACTTCTAAATGTTATTAGCATAAAAATATTGACCGTATCCTTAATGGGTCTCAACAGGCCACTAGAAAAATAATTGGTGAGAATTGCGAATCCACCAAAAGGCTTAGTTAGTTATAAATTAAGCAATTTCAGCTTTTTTCTATACATCTGTCCTCTATGCGAACTATCAATATTAGAAGGAATGTCTTGATTTAGCTTTATTTGTTCAACTACAAAATTGCTCATGCAGTCACATTGTTTGATTTCTCTACAATATCAACACCTACACTGATATAGCTGGAACAGTCAAGCAAGACCTTTTTCCTTTTGGCCTGGGAGGTAAGCAATCTGCTCTAAAGTTCAGCACTTACATGTACCTGTTCTCTTTCGCCTTCTTTTTGTCTCGATTCAATCCCGAATTTTTTTAAAATAAGACAGAGATATTGACTCAGTGAGGGCATATAAAAAATTGGACATATTTCAAATGCAGTTACTGATAAAATAGAGGTCAATGTTTAAATTGCAGTTGAATGTATTTTTCTTGTGATAGGACCAACACGCAGAAGAAAGTCACCTTCCGATGAAGTGGCAAATTGCCAGTGTCTCTTACAGTCTTCAAGTGACCAGACATGCATGCTGCCATTTTTTAACCATTCCTTCGAAGAGGTATTAAATTATTAATGAATTATTGCTAACAAAGGAAGGCTTAATCACCTAATTTTCTTAACAGTTCAAATCAAAGTGACAATAGACAAATATTAACTATAATTTATTTACTCCATTACTCTCCCTTTGTTATTTATTACAGTTATGCTGGCAGGCAAATGAAGACTGCAAGGGAGTGATTGTTACCGTAGTAAACAAAAGGAAAACGATTGATGAGAAGAGAAGAGATTTGTTGAGGCATGTAAAACCTTCCTTCTGTGACGATGCAAAAGCAGTTGCATGCATGTATTCAAGGGAGATATTAATAATTATTATTACATCATAATTATACCAATACTGACTTTTGAAGTTTCTTACTGCAGGGTGCTTCATGAGATGGAATGTAAACACAGTGAAAATTGGTTGTTTTGGATAGGAGAAACCAGCTCCACTGACGGGTTGAAAGGTGAAGGTTTTACATCATGAAAATGATTTGTCCACAGCACAATGCCACTTACTGTATATATAAAACCTCTTTTGAAAGAACAGTGCACACACCTGTGTACAGGTGTAGTAAACTATAATATTAATAGATTTTTGCTAGGGAGTCATTAGGCCATGTGGAACTATAAGGTAACACTTATCGAATCACAAACATCTCTTTGTTTAAATAACAGGCAACTGGATTAATGACTTCATCAGAAATTTTTGACAAGACGTTTACTTGTAAATTATTTATCCTTGTTAGTTATAGACATTTATGGTGGTGACCCACGCACAGAAAGGATACTTTTCCTGGTCCCGTCAGTGGGTAGAAGTCCTTCGTTGTTGGGACAGATTTCAGGTAATTTTAGAGGAGCAAGAATCGTTGTGGTCAATGTCAATAACAATAAATTTTTAAAACAGTTTCAAACGTGATCAAAGCTGTCACGATCGTGTGTGTGTGTTAGAACGATATGCCTGTGATACCACAGGACATGCTCAAGGCTTATTAATGAGTAATGTTACAGTTATGGTGAGAAAAGATTGCCATATGTTCTTTAATTCTTGAATTAACTCAAAACCCCAATACATGGAGCCTCAAACTGGAAAGCAAGGATTTTTCAATAGCTTTTACATAAAGAGATACAGCTGAAGGATTAGATTAGACTAGAATTGATGTAGTGTTTTAATAAATTATTAGTCATTGAGAGCACCCGAAGCATCATATCAGTAACAGGATACTGAAAGGGCCATGCATTTCCCTAATAACTTCACTTGTATTTAGCCAAAGCTAAATAAAGTAGCATTGGCAAAGAAAGAAAGATAAGAAAGTAATAAATAAAGGAAATGATATTATAGATAATATTAATTCATGATAAGAAGGTAACATCGGCACAAATATCCTTATTTATTTATTATCCTAAACTATAACATGGTTGGGTAAATTGCCAAGAACAATTTCTAAGGGTGCACAACTTAAGAGGAACAATAACTATTAAAACATTGCCTGATGAGTGTGCGGTCATGTTATTGAAATAGCAGTGAACTACCTCCAAAGCCTAAATGAATATTTCTTTAAGTCACTGCAGTTTTTGTTTTATTTTACAGGAAGTATATGACTGGGCAGGGGGGCTGATGAGATGCCTCTCTTTTTTACATTACATAAAGAGTCCAGACCTACATGTATAAGTCACAAGGAGCGACTAAAGGGCCATGAAGTTTTGAGTTTTGTGGAACGTGTAAGTATGGTACATTATTATTTATCTTATCTGGATAAAGTTGCTTGAGCTTTGATAGTAAAAATCTTTGCTGAAAGAAGAATTCTACTTTATCACACAGGATGAAGCAGACATGGTTAGACTACTTGGGCCATTTGAGGTAAGGGGGGAATGCAAACAGATGTTGGCACATGCAAATGTACCATAACAATAATATCTAATAAGCTATCTAGAATCAGATATGTAAAAGATGCTTACTAAGGGAAACAGCAGAAGGTTACTATATCTAACCCAAGGAAACTAATGTTTGAGATGACACTAAAATGTCAGCACTTTGTAAATTGAAAATGAAAAAGAAACTATTTTAGATGTAACGTTTATTTCTATTTTTGCCTATTTTAAACAGAAACCTAGACCTATTAACCCCTTGAATTTCTGGACATCTAATCTTAGAGTTCTTAATCGAGCCAGGTCCTCTGTGTCCATGCTCTCTGTGAGCGAGGATCTTTGCCACCAGGTTCTTGGGAACATAATCCTTGCAGACTGGGTTCTTAATCGAGCCAGGTCCTCTGTGTCCATGCTCTACGTGAGCGAGGATCTTTGCCACCAGGTTCTTGGGAACATAACCCTTGCAGACTGGGTTCTTAATGGAGCCAGGTCCTCTGTGTCCATGCTCTACGTGTGCGAGGATCTTTGCCACCAGGTTCTTGGGAACATAACCCTCGCAGACTGGGTTCTTAATGGAGCCAGGTCCTCTGTGTCCGTGCTCTACGTGAGCGAGGATCTTTGCCACCAGGTTCTTGGGAACATAACCCTCGCAGACTGGGTTCTTAATGGAGCCAGGTCCTCTGTGTCCATGCTCTACGTGAGCAAGGATCTTTGCCACCAGGTTCTTGGGAACATAACATATCATGTAACACAAAATTCATCAAAGACTGCATTTACAACAACACTGACTACCCAGTATGACTTTTGACTATATGACTTTCCAAGCTATTATTACTTGTCATAAAAAAATATTGATGTATAATACATCTTTATAAGGGAAAGGATATCTTACCAAAAAGGTATAATAATTAGGTAAATGGGTTAAACATTCGTAAATAATGCCGGCAGGGAACGATAATAATGCATAAGCATACTCTTAATATTAAGTTAACTGAATGCCCTCAAGCAAATACAGTACATCGATGTAATAATTCAAAAATGAGTAGTTGATGTAGGAAGTTATCAAATACCAAATCCAAAACACAAGTTAACAATAAACCAACATTAAATAACCACTAAATAATTGTGAACTTGATATAAAAATACAATTTATGAAAATACACTGAATAAATTATTACAGTAGATAACACTGTGCTACTTAAAAAAAAAAAGTCACGCAAAGTCATAACCACTGGGAATTGCAAACAAGCGACAAGAGTACAACCAAAGATGAACACAGTCAAGATGAAAATAATGAGAAACGATGGAATACACCTGGAAAGTTGCAAAGGAATGTTCAATGGTTAAGGCATGGTTGATACACAATGACTTCTCTCAGAGCCAAAGAGCATGGTGGGGATACAAACTACCAACTACTTTGAGGTAAAAAGAAGGCACCATCAAAGAAAGAAGAACAATGAACCTCCAGATGTAAATATAGAAGACTTAATATTAAGTAATAGAATTTTTCACATGGTCGAGATTGAAACAACATGTAGCTAGGAGAGGAGGCTAAAGGTTATTGGTCCAGGTTGGGGATGAGGTTGATTTGTCAGCTGACAGGGTGAATGGGTTAACTGCAGTCAGGTTACAGATAAAGGGTATCCTCAACACTGAATGATAACTTTAGACACTAAAGGAACTAGCTTAATGTATACCTTAAACCTCTTTAATTTGAATGTGTACTTCATAAACAAGGCTAAAAATAAAAGTACATGTATAACAGTCATAATTAAAAGGAAGAAAGTAGTATTATATACTAGTAAAAGTTTATTTGATAGAAAAATAAAATGATATAAATTTAATAGCTATGATATGTAACAGAGAAATAAACATGCACCAAAAAAAATCAACAAGAAGCTAGATACTTCTCAATAAATTATATATTATTCTATATAAACTGACTCAGTTATGAACTATCATTGCATACAAAGTCTTATGTCTATTTACCAAACAAACACAATCTAAACATCCTCTTCTCAAAAATAACAAAATAATTTTAGATAATTAAGAGCCTGTAAAGTACTCTTTAATACACCGTAGATTCCAAATTCAATGGGCATTTCCACCCCTATCTGCCTGAGTTGGACAGTTCACAATCAACATGAATTTGTCCAGTTGACACTAACAGTGAAGCTCACTACTCACCAACTAATGCTTAATCAGCCTTCTGGTCCAGTTCAAAGTTGAACAAACAGACTGCCCTCTTTGGGTTGGCAGGGTGGCCATAATCTGGACAGCATTCCTCTCTTCTGTTTTGCTCTTTTTTGCAGGTTGAATTCAGAGGGAACATTCCTTGTGGAACTTCGGAAGAGGACCTCTCCAAGACAGTTCAGGGTAATCAATTCAATGTATTTATCAGGGTACATGGAAATGAAGTATAACTACCAAAACGTGCCTGGCTATTAAGTTCACAATAATACAGATCACTTCTTGCACCATCGACAGACCTGTAAATGAAAATTGTCATTATTACATGAACAAGAGGCAATGACAGAAAATAATTATTTTCCACAAACACTCTTGTCAATACCACAATTGCCCTCTATCCTTTGTTTTAAGTCTACAGATCTCTTTTTGAAACAAGAAAAATTATATTCTATCATTTTTTAATTTTATTGTTTCATGAACTATGATGAAATTTACCACCTTCCCTGTTCTACAAGGGAATCAACTACAACATTAATGTATATACCATAGACATGATGATTTGATTTCATTTCTTCTTCATTTCTTTACACTTGTAAATGAGTTAGGACTTGAAGACAAAGAACTAGAATCAACCACGGTTGATTCATTTCAACCCGATCATAATTCTTGACACGTAATAAATATTTTTAAAATACTATCTTCTGATATCTTCCCTCTTTCATTATGTTATAGATGCAAGTCCAACCAGCAAACCACCAGCGGCATGCTTGATGTCACCAAAGGTCCAAACAACCACTACAACACACATTACCACCTCCACGACATCCACAAAAACCATTTCATCAGCCACGAAATCAAGAAATACCACATCATCCACTGCAGCATCAGTTGTTAACTCATCCACCACATTGTCATCTGCCATCACATCAGCCACTACCCCTCCCAGTACGAATATCAAAACCACTGACACCTCGGCCACCCCATCAACAACCCCAACATCGTTGACTCTCCCGCTTCATGCAGAAGGTAAGGAAAACGTTTTCACCATGCTATTGTTGTTGAAAAGGCCATTAACTATTATTTAAATGGAGATAAGTTAATAATACATAGACAAATGAAACACAAACTAATTTGAAAGAGCATGAGTTCTAGACAGCTTGAATTAAAAAGGGTTAAATATTACAGGTGTCTTTTTGAAATAATTAAAATTATATTTCTATCATTTTTAATACTATTGTTTCATGAACTTACCACCCTCCCTGCTATACAAGGGGATTAACTGCAACATACATGTATATAACATAGACATGATGTAGTGTAGTTAATTTTTTTATCTCTGATAAATTTCATTTCTTCTTTGTTACAACGTTATTAGAATATATTACCATACCCCAAAACAAAAGAGAAACTTGTAAATGAATTGGGACTTGAATGCAAAGACCTAGAATCAACCACCGTTAAAAATGTCAACCCGACCATAATTTTTGACTTGAAATAAATATTTTAAAAATACTTTCTTCTGATATCTTCTATCTTTCATTATGTTATAGGTGCAAGTCCAACGAGCCAACCACCAGCAGCATGCCTGACTTCACCAAAGGTCAAAACAACCACTACAACACACATTACCACCTCCACGACATCAACAAAAACCATCTCATCAACCACAAAATCAACAAATACCACATCATCCACTGCAGCATCAGTTGTTACCTCATCCATCACATTGTCATCCACCATCACAACATCCACTGCCCCTCCCAGCATGAATATCAAAACCGCGGC